AACTTTTTTGGTTAGCAGCCCATCGCTTTAATCACTGCACAACTAGGGTTCGCCTAGATTGCCCCCCAAGATACTAATTATATAGTATGATTATATGTTGTTGTTGTTAAGTGCCGTTGAGTTGGTTCCGACCCATAGCGACCCTGTATAGACTTTCTGAGGAGCAGCTGGTGAGTTTCAACCGCCGACCTTGCAGTTCAAACTGACTTTGCAGTCCAGCACATTAACCTACAGCACCAAATGACTGTAAAACTTAAATAGTATAACTATATAGTTATGGTATAACATATAGCACATAAGTTATACCACGTAATTATTAACATATGTAATATGATTAGGAGTCCTAGTGTGGCACTGTAGGATGAAGTACTGGACCATAAGATGAGTTTGAACCAGAAGGTCAGTGGTTCAAATTCACCAACTGCTCCTTGGAAACCATCACAGGGTCACTATGAGTCGGATCCCACTTGACAGCACATAACAACAACAACATACTGTTGTTGTTGTTATGTGCCATATAGTATGACTGAATGTTGTCTGCTGTATAAAAATCATATGGTATAGAAAAATGAAGGCCAATTAAAGTATACTAAAAAGGAAATAAGCAACCAACACAAGTACCAGAGCCCAAGAACTTTCTGGCAGTTAACCATGGTTCCAACTAGAAAGAATCCACTTTTAAATGTGTTTTATGTCAATATTTCAAACAATGAAAATAGTTCGTGTTCTATGTTACACTGCTTTGTTCTATTTTAAGAAGTGCTAGTGGCTTATTAGACATATTAGCTTCCTAATTACAAATTTTTCCCATTCTTTTACTTAATAATAAATGAGGCTAGCTACATCCAAACTTTGCAGCTGCAGCTCATTTGGTTGACTTTTATTATCACACTAAAAATGACAGAGCGACTTGAACTCTAAGTCATAAGTCCAGTAACTAACACATTCACCTTCATAACCCTAACTGCGACAAAACAGCGAGCGGTGCTCATAAAAGTAGGTGAAATCAAACTGAGCCAAGAAAGAGCAGGTCCTTAGCATGAACACGTAACCTGAACAATGAAACCAGAATGACCTGCCTAAAAGCAATCCCTTACCATTCACAGCTCGGGCTCAAAGTACAGAAAGAAAAGGATTCATGGGGGGCGGGGAGGGGACGGACAATAAAAGTGAAATAGTGCCATGATGTCCAACACAGACAAAGGGAGAAGACAGTGTAAGTAACAAGTAACCATCCAAACAAAGAGTAAACAACAAGAAAAGACCGAAGGATTCCAAAAAGAACACGGACATATGTAAAAGGAAAAAACTGTGAAAAGACAAAATACGTAAGAAGCAAATATTACAATGGGGTCCAGGAGAATGGCTACCCACCCAGAGACAAATGCAGACACTGAAGACCAGGGGCTTGAGCAATTTTCTCCTCCACTGAGCAAGAAGATGGCTATGCAAGCAGGGTCAAAGCAAGCATTAACCCAGGATGTGGGGAGCAAGGAGAAGGACTACCTGGTTTCTAATAACTTTTCAATGATCCATCGAATTAGAAAGGGATTATAGGTACTTTCCTGAAAATATTGTTATTAAATATTAGCACAGTGGGTTACGTGTTGGGCTGCTACCGCAAGGTCGTCAGCAGTTTGAATCTACCAGTTGCTCCATGGGAGAACGAAGATGCTGTCTGTTCCTGTAAAGATTCGTGGCCTCGGAAATCCTGAACAGGGTCACTATGAGTCAGAATCAACTCCACTCTATTTGTTTGACTATTCTAGGTACTTCACATAAGTAGAATCATATAGAGATACTCATTAGAACAGGACACAGGGTTACGAATAGTTTAAATTCAGGAAAGGTGTGTGTCAGGGTTGTAGCCTTCATAGTACTTATCAATTTGTATGCTAAGCAAATAATTCAAGAAGTTGAATTTGTCAAGGAAAATATGGCATCAATATGCAGATGATACAACCTTGCTTGCTGACAGTGAAGGGGACTTGAAATACTTAATGATAAGAATCAAAGAATACAGCCTTCTGTACAGATTGAACCTCAAGGTAAAGAAAAGAAAATCCTCACCACTGAACCAATAAAATCATAATAAATGGAGAAAAGATTGAAGTTGTCAAAGACAACAGTTTGGTTGGATCCACAATCAACACTCATGGAAGCAGCAGTCATGAAATCAAACGTCACTTGACAAATCTGCTGCACAAGACCTCTTACAAGTGTTGAAGACCAAAGATGTCACTCTGAGGACTAAGGTGGCACTTGATCCAAGCCATGGTATCTTTAATAGCCTCGTATGCATGTGAAAATTGGAAAATGAATAAGGAAGACCACAGAAGAATTGATACATTTGAATTATGGTACAGGCGAAGAATACTGAAAACAAAATAGAATGCCAGAAGAACAAACAAATGTGTGCTGAAAAGTACAGCCAGAATGCTCCTTAGAAGCCAAGATAGCAGAGACCTCAACTCTCACATTTCTGACATATTACCAGGAAGGACCAGTCTCTGGGGAAGGGCATTATGTTTGGTAAAGTAGAGGATCAAAGAAAAAGAGGACTATCCCCAACAAGATGGACTGGCATTGTGGTAGCAACAATGGGCTCAAACATAACAACCATTGTGAGGGTAATGCAGGACCAGCCAGTGTTCCATTCTGTGTGTAGAGGGTAGCTGGAAGTCAGAACTGACTCAAAGCACCTACAATAATAACAAATGATCTTAGCGACTTTGTCCTTTTGAGTCTGACTTCTTTCACTCTGCATGTTTTCACGGTTCACCCACATAACAGCATGTAGCAGGACTTCAGTCATCTTTACGGCTGAGTCATAGTCCACCAGACGGATATACCACATTTTGTTGATCCATCAATCTGGTGATGGGCATTTAGGCTGTTTCCGTAAGTTGGCTACTATCAATGATTCCGCAGTGAGCAGGGATGTACAACTGTCTGTTTGTTTCTGCTTTCCGTTCCTGAGGGTATTATATATACGCCTTGGCATTTTGGAAGTGCTGGATGATGTGAGAATTCTATGGTAAAGATGTTGATGAACCTTCAAACTTTTCCATAGTGCCTGAACCATTTTACAATCCAATCTCTCCTAGTGTTTCCCTTCAACAATATACCCTAAACATTTTCCCATGTCATTAAAAAAAAATCAGCAAAAGCATGGTCGTAAGGAAGTAGATGCTCATGACAATAAGTTCAGTGTGGAGGAGATAACCAACTCCCTCTTTCCTATTATTTTCCAACCTCCTTCCCATTTCCCATGGGCAACTCTTTTGATTAATTTTCTTTTTTGTTTTGCATTCCAGGAAATTTTTATGCACATACAAGCATTTTGTGGAACTCTGGTGTGGCGCCATAGGATAAGCACTCTACCGTAAGGTCGGTTTGAACCACAAGGTCGGTGATTCAAACTTACCAGCCACTCCTTAGAAACCTTATACAAGGTTGCTATGAGTTGGGACTGACTCGACAGCTCTTAACAACAATAACAACAACAAGCATTTGGACCTATATGTAAAGGACACAAATTTGAAGATGCTTACATATACGTTCAATTCTTATATTAGTTTCATTCCATACATGTAACTGCTTCAACTTTCTTTCTATGACTGAATATAGTACCTCTTGGAGTTCTTTCTCTAGCAGCACATGGGGATCGTGTGCATCTGATCTAGGGTCAAGGTGAGAACACACAATCTTTCATTTCACCATACTAATCCTCTTGAGAAACATTGAAGCTTTTGTGTTTGGTGTTGTTGCTCTTATCGAAAATGTTGAAATGAATGCTGTCAAATACTTTTTTATAAACGGGTACTATTTGTAAGATGTGAACCTAGAAATGGGATCCCATGGTCAAGGAGTAGCAATTTGGTATTTCCTAGAAAGGCATATGTTTTGTTCCAGTAGCAAGACAAATCTACTCATTGGCCCAATCATGACACACTTCTAATCAGAGCATCGTATATTTCAAAATCGAATTTCTCTAGCTACTCATGATATTGAATACTTTTGTGTTAACCCACAGTGCCATACCAGGCAGGTAAGCAGAACAAGTAAATACCACAGCAGCAGTAGAAATGTGGAAATGAGGAAATGGGTGGTGGTAAACTGCTCTCTGAAAAGACCTTATGGTGCTTCTATAGGGATGTTAAAAGGACACACCTCACACACAGCTACCTGAGGTATGTCATTAACTCCAAGGTAATTTCTTTACGGCTACATTCTTTGCCCCTAGCAAGCCTACACTAACCTAATGAGTTTCCTGAGCCCACCTTAAAAAAACAAAAAACAAAAAAACCACAGCCCTCTGCTGTCCAGGGGATTCTGACTCAGCGATTCTCTATGAGAGTAGAATTGCCCCATAGGTTTGGTGAGGCTGTATATCTCACGGAGGCAGACTGCCACATCTTTCTCTTGCAGAGCAGGTGATGGATTCAAACCACCGACCTTGAGGTTACTAGCTGTATGCTTTACTGCTGCACCACCAGGGCTCCTGTGAGCCCATGCATGCCCATCCTTAGAGGGCTAGGCTACAACCAGACCACGGGTCACAGGCAAGGGTTTGCCCTGAACATCTCTTGAGCTGAATGGCCTAAAGTGAATGGCCTAAAGCTGAACACAACTTCCGTTTATATGTTTAATCTTTCTTATTAGGTTGACCTTATTGTCCAACTGAAAGACTTTCACTTCCTTCTGAGATCCCTGAGAGTATCTCTGATCCCATTTAGGAGAGGCCCAGAGTCAGGTTTCTTACACGAAGTTCATTCATTTAACTTAATGTCTAGTGACTGAATGAGCAAAGTTTGAATGTTGCCCCTTCAGGACATGGAGTATCTTCTATTATAAAGCCATCTTCCAATTTCAGAGACAGTATGTTACAAGGAAAAATAACATAAACCACAATGATAGTCTAGAAACCAGAGAACATTCCTCATGCCACGACAGGACACAGCCACAAGGCCCGGCAGCACAGAGGCTGCACGACCTACCTCAGCCTCCCTTTGTCCTTGTTCCGCTGCCCGACTCGGCCGGTGGACTTGATGTACAGGTGCCGGTGCAGCTCATCGATGAGAACCAGGTGCAGGTTCATCTTCCTGCTGTGCAGCTCCAGTCTGAGGTCACTGAGTCCTTCCACCTGGAGCAGGGAGCCCTCCAGAGACTCAACTGCGGACACCTGGGCAGGTAAGCAGGACAACTAAATACCACAGCACAACTGGAACTCAGGAACAATACTTATTTAAAGGCACTATGAAAAAAGGAGCTCTGGTTACGAGATGGGCTGACCTCAATCGAGGTCAGCTATTTGAAACTACCAACCATTCAGCGGGAGAAAGAAGAGGCTCTCTGTGCCTGTAAAGATTTACAGCCTCGGAAACCCTACACAGGGTCGCTATAAGTGGGAAGCAACTCCATGGCACACACCACCTACCACCACTACTATGAAAAAAGGGGGAATTCTGATGTGGTGCTGCAGGGTAGACGACTGGACCGCAAGGTCCGTTTGAGCCACAAGGCTAGTAGTTCAAACTCACTAGCCACTCCTTGGAAACCCTACACAGGGTCACTGTTGGCACTTAACACCACCACCATGAGAAAAGGTGTTATGAGAAGCCTATCAGCATACACCAGACTTGGACAAGCATCCTGAGGAAAGGTCTCATCTTGCCCTCGAAGGACCTTAGATAATTAATGCTGCAGACAATGACAGCCTCCACAGAGACACATGAAGCACCACAACCAAGCCACACCACTGTTAAGTCCCACTTACGGGGTGGCAGTGGGGTGTTGGTGAGTCAATTCTGACTTCATAGCATATGTATGGGGTTTCTGAGAGCAGCTGGTGAGTTCGAACTGCCGACCTTGAGGATACCCACGCGGTGCTTTTCCTACAGTGCCACACCAGGGCTCTTGCTCCTGAACAGGCACATAAGGCGGCTTCCCCATTAAAGAGGTATGCCATTCATATTCTCACACGCATTCTAACTGTTAGTGCCTTTACATAGTCAATAAAGTAACATAAAGTGACAGTTTCCATGTAAACCCAAACAGCCACCACTCATCAGTCACATAAGTAGTAGATAGGTAGATAAGCAGTTGTTGTTATGTGCCATGGAGTCGGTTCCCACTCTTTACAGGAGCAGAAAGCATCATCTTTCTCCCATGGAACAGCTGGGAGTTTTGAACTGCTGACCTTGAGGTTTGCAGTCAGATTCCTAACAACTAAGCTACCAGAGCTCCTTAGGTAGATAAGCAGTAGCTAGGTAGATAGGGGAACAGGAAACAATACCAGTAAGGTGCTGCTCACCATGGAATGGTCAATCATCCAAGATCAAAGGGGCAACATTTACCTAAGAGGGTGGGAAGGAAATGAAACCACAGGGAGGAAGCAGGTTACAGGTTGTCTCATAATAACCTCATACGCATGTGAAAGCTGCACAGTGACTAAGGAAGACTGTAGAAGAATTGATGCTTTTGAGTTGTGGTGTTGGAGGAGAATATTGAAAGTGCCATGGACTGCCTAAAGAACCAATATATCCGTTTTGGAAGAAGTGCAGCCAGAGTGCTCCTTGGAGGACAAGATGGCCAAATTTCATGTCTCATACTTCAGCCATATTGTCAAGAGGGACCAGTCACTGGAGAAGGATATCATGTTTAGTAAGGTGGAGGGTCAGAGAAAGAGGAAGACCCCCAACGAGATGGATTGGCCAAGTGGCAGCATTGATGGACTCAAGCGTGGTAACAGTAGTGAGGTTGGCCATGTTTCCGTCTGCTGTGCATAGGGTTGCTAGAATCGGTGTCGACTCGCTGGCACCTAACAACAACAACAACATGGAGTTGAATGCAATTACTGAGAGGCAACAAAGTGAATAATTTGATGAATGTAAAACTGATGACCTTCTCAGTAAACTCACTTAATTCATAATAAAAAGTTTAAGAAAAAAACTACAAATATATATTTTTTTTAAGTTTGTGGAAAAGTTACATTATCTCATTCCATTTTCCCATGAACTCTGTGAAGCCCCTTCGGAGAGAGGGGGCAATACACCTGGGAGAAAGTGCAGGTTGGGAGATTTTAAACACAAGAAGGACTGCATGAGTGAGCCAGCAGGAGGAAGTCCACAATACAAGGAGAAGATGAGGACTTGAGCAGCCTGGAGGAGCCCGCTTTGAAACTCAAAGTGAAGAATGCAAAGGGGGCAAGAGCCAGCATGTCTGAGAGCCCCCATCATGTGTCTATGTGATATGAGAAGGAGTCTTGGTAGTGCGAAGGTTAAAGCACTGGGCAGCCAATCATACCAACCAGCTCCTCCACAAGAGTCAGCTGTCTGCTTCAGGGAAAGATTGACAGCTTTGGACAGCCTGTGGGGCCATTCTACCTTGTCCTACAGGGTCACTGTGAACCAGAATCAACTTGACAAAAGTGAACTGAGATATGATAGGACCACACTCAGTCATGTCAGTAAGATTATGTGTCTTCTTGTTAAGTGCCACGGAGTCAGTTTGGACTCACAGCGACCCTGAATGGAATTTCCAAGGAGAAGCTGGTGGGTTTGAACTACTGACCCTAGAGTCAGCAATCCAGTGTTTACCCTACAGTGCCACACCAGGACTCTTTCTTATGTGTCTAGATAACGTGTATTCAGCTTCCATTCCAGCTTCTTTTTGTTTGAAAGATTTTATAGATATAGTATTTTTTACTAATAAAATACATGCTGAATCATTGAGTGTTTAAAATTTTTATTAGGTCTGATGATTTTGATAAATATTATGTGGGACACATACATACCAGTGGTCTCATTAGGAAAGACAGAATGAAGCATGTTTCAACCTTCCCAATAATTTACAGGAAAATAGTAAATAAGAGGGACCTTCAAAACGTTCGTGGACAAATTCATTATCTTTTCATTCTATTTTTCCATGAACTCTGAAGCTCCCTCGCAAACTTACAAGCTTTATCTTGTTGTTCAGAAACCCAAACAGATTTTAGGTATATTCAATAGCTCCTTTAGGATGCACCACCTCACACAACAACCTCTCCAAACAGCAACATGTCACCCAGCAGTGAACATCCCTGTGTCTTCAGTCATTACACAAGGCCCTACCCTGATGCGGCACCTACCATATCTGGGGGAAAGACTCCCAAGAAATCCCAGAAGAAGAAAATATGAGTGGTACTTCTATGTATCACAGGATGTGAAGGAGGTAAAAACCACAGACAGTAAAATATTGGGGGAAGATTATATTCTGGGTATTATTCCTAAAATTGAAAAAGGGAGGTGGGAGAAGAAAATACAAAAAAAAAGGTTTTTAAAAAAAAGAAAACTGACCCCTGGGACCACCAAGGGAGAAGAGCGGAGATCGGGACCCTCCCCAGAGAAGCAGTGACGCCAGAGATGGAGGCAGAGATGGAGCGATGGAGGAGCTGGGGACTTTAGACCCAGAGAGGGAGAGGGGCTGTGTGCTGATGACCAGCGGGCAGGCTTGTAGTGTTTTACCTTTGGTTGGTTGATGATGCATGGAGGGGATTGTAACCATGGCAATGAAATGATACACGATAGGATGAATGTAAAACTAATGTTCTCCCGTGTAAACTATCACATAATTCACAATAAAACATAAAAAAAAAAAAACTCATTAAGAAGGTAAGGAAAAAAAGAAAAGACCAAAATAGCTATCAGAGACTCTGATATCTTGCTCTCCAATATTAAAAAAAAAAAGGAAGCATGTAAACAAAAACAATTGACCACCAAATCCAGGAAACATATTGATTCCCAGAAATGTTGGTCACAGACCAAGAGCAGCACACACAGGTTGCCGGGAGCCGGTGGAAAGAGTCAGAAAGCTCTGTAGCTTCCCAAGCAGCCACAAACACACTGCTTGTTTGGAGATGTGCTATCATCAAATGCCAGTAGCAAATAAGTTTCCTTAAGTTAACCAATCCAGGATGGAGGGATGAAGGTGACAAGCCCTGAGCCAGCTCTGCCCTCTGAAGCCTACCAGTTCATTTTCACGCTGGCGGGCATCTGCCCCAGCGTCAGGAACCCCTGGGCTTTGTGCAGGCTGCAGACAAGTCCAAATGCAAACACTGCTGCACAAAATGACCAAAGCGTCCCCGAGGAGGAAGGAAAACACAAATTCATTTACACGTATGCCCTGAAATGGATTTTAACTCAGGACTGTAGTAGAAAAAACAGGATGCATTGACCTTCCGTGACATCGAGATGCAGAAAATGAAAAATAATTTGGCAAACCACTGGCCCATCATGTAGCCTTAGCCCTAAAGGTAATTAAATCCAGCTGAGATATTGAAGCTTCCAAACCCACACCACACCTCACACTAGATCTGTTCTATAGGAATCTGTATGAAGATTTTTAACCCCTACAGCTCAGGTTCCAAACACAAATTATATGACACCGACAACTTGCAAAGCCCATAAATAGGAGCAAATGCAGGCAAAAGCATTTAGCCTAGTGCCTGGCACATACTGAGGACTGGATGGGATTTTTCAGGAGGTGTTTGCAACATCTTTCAATGCAACATTTTAGTAAAGTGATGGTCCCTTCATAGAAGCATTACCATCATTTAGAGGACAAAATTTCTGACTACACTTCCTGGACCCAAAATACAAATACATGTCATGGAGGCTTCAACAAGGTTGTGGAAAAACGGAACCAAAAGATAATGGAATTCTTCTATTAAATTTCTGAAGACCCCTCATATAATGAGATGGATGGAAGAATGGATGGATGGATAGAAAATAAAGAGATAGAAAGAGAGATAATCTAATATGTAGTCTTAGAAAGTAGAAGTCAATGATTTGCAAACCTCAACTCAAAAACAAGTGTCTCTCATTTCTAAAGGAATAAGACGGTTTTTGTTCTTCGCTTACCAAAATCTATTTACAAAATTAGAATAATGGAAGTTAAGCACAATCACTATCTTCCTCTACTCTAACCTTACTAAGTGGTACTCCAATCGATATGACGGAAACAGTCAGAAGGACAACATTTTCTCTCTAGACCCATCAGTTTAGGAACCTGCCATGTCTCTTCTCTGAGTGACTTGGACCAGAGTTCACTCACTCAGGACACTTGACAAGGCATCACCCAACAGACCACTGCTGTCGATCTAAGTTCCAACTCATAGCAACTCTGTATAGGGTTTCCAAGAGC